AGAATGACATCTCACAAAATAGAATATGTCAATAAAGAGATATAAATTATTTTTTAAATGAAAATTCTGGAGTCGAAAAGTATAAAAACTGTAATGAAAACTTCACTAGAGGGGCTCAACAGAAGATTTGAACAGGCAGACAAAACAACCAATAGACTAATCGAGATTATCCAGTCTGAAGAACAAAAAGAGAATAAAGAATAATAAACAGAGCCTCAGAAACCTGTGGGACACCATCCAGCATACACATAAGGGGAGTCCAAGAAAGAAAGAAAAGAAAGGAGAAAAAAGAATATTTGAAGAAACAATGGCCCAAAACTTCCTAAGTGATGAAAAACAATCTGCTCACCAAGGAAGCTCAATGAACTCCAAGTAGATCATTTTAAAGAGATCTACACCAAATACATCATAATCAAATTGCTAAAAAGCCAAAGAAAAGGAGAGACTGATGAAAGCAGCAAGAGGGAAGCAAACTCATTCTGCACAAGGGGTCTCAATGAGGTTAACAACTAACTTCTCATTAAAAACCATGGTTGCCAGCAGGCAGTGGGATGACATATTCAAAGTACTAAAAGAAAAACACTGTCAACTAAGATCCTACATCTAGGAAATCTGTCCTTCAAAAATGAAGGAGACGAAAAAATGAGAAGCTTCATCATATCAGACCTGACCTACAAGAAATACTAAACAGAGTCCTCCAGGCTGAAATGATGGGACAGTAACTAAAATCCAAACGAACAATGAAGAACACCAGAGAAGGTCAATACATGGGTTTTACAAAGATAGTACAAATGTGTCTTCATTTGTAGTTTTTTTCTTCTTTTGGATTTAAGGCCAACTGTACAAAGCAACAATTATAAAACTACCTTGTTGGGCTTACGGTGTATAAAGATGTAATTTGTATGACAATAAAAGTATAAAGAAAAGGGAGGGAACGGAATATAAAGAAGCAAAAGTTTAGCAGACTATTTAAATTGCTATTAATCCAAACTAGATTGTTCTAAGTTACAATTTCATTTTAATTGCCAGGGCACCCAATAAAAAAAAAATCTCAAAAATATATAGTAAAGAAACAATAGATAATTTAAATGGTATGCTAGGAAATTTTATCTAACACAAAAGAAGGCAGTAACGAAGAAATAAAGGGAAAAAGACATGACATAAAGAAAATTTTAAATGACATACAAAAGCCCTAACCTACTAGTAATTATGTTAAATGTAAATGGATTAAACATTCCAATTAAGAAGTAGAAATTGGAAGAATGAATTTTAAAAAGTCCAATTATATGCTGTCTACAAGAGAAGAGCAAGCAATGACACAGAATGGCTATTATCAAAGAAAAGAAACTTGTGCACTGTTGGTGGGAATGTAAATTGGTACAGCCACTAAGGAAAATGGTACGGAGATTCCTCAAGAAATCAAAACTAGAGCTACCATATGATCCAGTAATTTCACTTCTGGGTATTTATCCAAAGGAAATGAAATCACTATTTCAAGGGCATATGTGCCTCAGAGACAGGGCAGATGTGCCTGGAGTGGTCGCTGGAGCTGGATGGTGGTAACACACGAAAAACACATGGTCCAGATGCCTCTAGTATGGGCTGGGGGACAGCTGAACGAGCAGGGGAGTGGAAATAGAGAGTGGACACCAGTTTCTTTCTTGTCTCCTCACATTCCTTCCCTGTGGGGACTACCTCTTCCTCTATTTCTGTGATACTAGTGGAATTGCCAATCAACCTCCTCTCTGCACTGTCCCCCTGCCCCACAGAGGTGGGTATGTGACCCAGGCTAGCTCAAAAGAGAACACCACTCTGCAGGAATCAGGGGGAGGTATGTAAGCTTGGGCATGCGACCCAAGCAGAGCCTATTGTGGTCCTTTTGTAGGACTGAAATGGATGCTGGAAGGGGTTTCCTTCTTCGCTGCACTTCAAAAACCACTGCTTTTACCAATGAGAGATTTGGCAAAGAATACAGCCATCAGGAAAACTGCGAGATAGAGAGATTGAGATATATTTTGAAAACCTAGCTCCAGACATACGTACATCTGGCAAATCCTAAACTTCGCAGTTATGTAACAATAAATTTAAAAGATTTCCTAGAGTTGTTTGAATCAGGTATGGATTACCTGCAATTGAGTGATTCTTGACTAACACAGAGAAGTCGTTGTTTCTGTTTTTGACCATTTAAAACTATGGTTGGCTGTGACTTGTGGAAACACGAATCTCCAAGGAAGAAGTCAGGGACAGATTATCCTTGGTCTCCTACTATTTTAGGGAAATGGTTAATAAGAACACAAAGATTTATCTTTGGGAGTATTCAATAAGGTGATGGTTTGATGAGATGATGATAATTAACTAAAATGATGTGCCCAAGAGTACTTCCTTGGAAGTATTCATATCTCTCCTCTCCTGAATAGAGCCTTATATTATGGGATTGGGGACCTGGATCTCCAAAAGACTGCAATGATCTCATAGCATCTGTCTCTGAGAAATGAGGAGGATAGGAGACAATGAAACGGGGAGCTGTCTTTGAGGGTAATAAGATTTCCAATCTGTAGCCAGTTGGGGAGGAGCTGAGAAAAGATAGTGGGGCTTTATCCTTCCCATCACTGCTTCATGTAGAATCCCTGCTTCTCATCTGGAATCCCCTCCGGTTACTCATCATTTAACTAATGTGTGAATGCCTCTTCTGTGCAGGCACTCTGCTTAGCACACAGCGGTGCACAGGTACAAAAGGGCTTTGCCTTTATGGAGTTTCAGCCTAGCGGGGGGAAGACAGACAATGAAACAATTAATTAGGGCTTCCCTGGTGGCGCAGTGGTTGAAAGTCCGCCTGCCGATGCAGGGCACGCAGGTTCGTGCCCCGGTCCAGGAAGATCCCGCATGCCGCGGAGTGGCTGGGCCCGTGAGCCATGGCCGCTGAGCCTGCGCATCCGGAGCCTGTGCTCTGCAACCGGAGAGGCCACGACAGCGAGAGGACCGCGTACCGCAAAAAAAAAAAAAAAAAAAAAAAAAAAAAAAAGAAAAGAAAAGAAATACACCACTTCTGATGATGTATCCTTAGGCTCTGGATTGATGCACGCATACCATGTTTCTCTAGAGGATGGTTTCGGACCTGGGGTCCCAGAGTGCTTGCGGTGGGGATGGCCACCTGTTATTAAAATGAAAGCCATCCAGAAGTGCTGCCACTGGCATCTGATCTGTGTCCAGAGGAGTCCTCCAGTACGGGATGAGGGGGAGGGAAACCAACATGTGGGATCTTCCCGGACCGGGGCACGAACCCGTGTCCCCTGCATCGGCAGGTGGACTCTCAACCACTGCGCCATCAGGGAAGCCCTCCCCTATTATTAACATCTTGAATTGTTGTGGTGCATTTGCTATGACTGATGAGCCAATGTGGACACATTATTATTAGCTAAATTCTGTAGTTAATATAAAGGTTTACTGTCTGTGTTGGACATTCTGTGGTTTTTGACAACCATGTAATGACGTGTAGCCTCCTTACAGTATCGTTAAGAGTAGTTTCACTGCCCTAAACATCCCCGTGCGCTACTTATTCATCCCTCCCACTTCTTCCCCCGACAAGCCTCTGGCAACCACTGATCTTTTTATTGTCTTCATAATTTAGCTTTTTCCAGAAGTTGGCATCATACAGTATGTTGTTAAAAGAGGACAAACACAATTCCCCTAGGCCAGCAGCTAGCAGGAGGTAGAGTTTAGTCCAAAACCGCATCTGTCTGACCCTGATTCTCTACGTTTTCTGGACCGCATCCTGCCTAACGGTGCTGGCCCGGGACTTGGTCTGTCCACCTTCACCCTGGATGGTGCTCCTAGGGCTTAAATTCTAGCATTTCCTTTCCTTAACAGTCTTTGGAATCTTGGATCCGCTGTTCTTTGAGTCTCATCAGGGTGGCCTGTCACTCATGATCCCTCTGGACCTGCGTGTGATCCTAACCTGCCTGATTTCGCTTTATTTATAAATCCAGCGAGTTTTTTCGACATTTTCCCCTAACTTTTTGCTCAGGCTTTGAGCATCATTATTCTTCCCCTGGTTCGCACTGAATCTTTTCTGCCAGCAAGTTGCTTGCTCACGGGCCTTGTCATGGAGGGTCTCCTACAGTTTTACTGAAGACGAAGTCTGCTGGGTGAGGCTGCTAAATGGAGCACAGTGCTGACAATTGTCTTGGTTGAGTTCTACCCATACACCCATCAGGGCCTGGAACACTTGCTCTCAGAATTTACAGATACTAACTCTATGATCCGTCTGCTTGTTGCCCGAGCAGAGCATCTCTACAATCTATTAAGTTCTATTTTATACTGCCAAGAGTAAAAAAAAAAAAAAATCCCACAATCATATTTCAAGTACTAAGGGATATTCTGCTAAGAATAAAAGGTTTATAAGCTCCAAACAGAAGTGAAATAGCTTGTGGAAAACCATAAAGGAATGAAAGAGTAGAATTCAGATTCAAATCCAGATCAAGTGCAAAGGCAAAGCTGGTGGTCCTTGAATCACACCAGGCTTCCCTCTGTGAAATCCTATGATGGCAGTGTCAGCGGGTTAAGGAGGCTGTGTGGGATTCAGGAAGAGCCCCAGCACAGGAGACCTCCTTAATGCAACTTGAGAGCATCCTTTCACCAATGAACAGTTGAAACTGAAATTTTGTTTTAAAACAACGTGTATGTAGTCACTGATTATGATACCAAACACTCCAAAGTGCCTTGCAAATACTAGTCCATTGCTATGTGTTCACGAAAACGCTTCTGAAGCTAGTAGCACCCTGCAGTTATATGCTTTATAAATTGCTAGTGTAATTCCAAGAATATCGCACCCTGTGGCTGATAATGAGGCCCCATCACTGACCAAGGACATTGCGGGGGGAGGGGGGTTGGGTAGGAAGCGTGGAAAGGACTCAAAGGCCGTGGACACCGTACTATCGTTTTTCCTGTTTTCCTGCAAAGTTAGAGAGGAGGCTGGCGGGGTTAATCTATGACCTACTTACCTCTCTCATGTCACAGGTTACTGGATCTCTATAGACTGTGGCTTCTGCTTGGTTTTGGGCGCCAAGAGGGAGCCTGTGAGGTGAGCGCGGTGGGACCCGGTGCTAGTTTCTGCCATCTCGGGGAGAGTAGCTCCGGAAGTAGCCGCGGAGACAGGCCCGCCGGCCAGGTGCTCGTCCTACCGCCAGGGGCACAGGCAGATTCAGGCTTCCGGCCCTTCCGGACAAGGGGCGAGGATACATTATTTGTTGAAAGTAAGGGAACAGCAATAAAATATTCCAATGACAAAGAAATGAAGGTTTATCATAATTTAAAAAAAAAACCAACCTTGAAGTCCCTCCCCAATCTTCTCATTTTGGGGGAGGCAAACTGGCCGCGAGCGCGGGGTCCGCTCGCCGGGGTCCGCTCGCCGGGGCCTGCGGTCGGGTGGACAGTCCGGCGGCCGCGCCAGTCGGGCCCGCGCGGGGGTCTGCGGGGACCCGAGGATGCAGGCGGGCTCCCACTGCCCGAGGGATGGCCGCACGCAGGCGGGACGACCACCAGCGCGTCGGCAGGCGCCGCCCACCCGCGGGGGAATCCCAGGTTAGGGCGCGGGGCGCGCGAAGACGCCGCGCCCCGCCCCCGCCGCCGCCCGCTCCCGGAGCCGCCGCCGCGCCGTGCTGCCATTGGTGCCAGGCGGTGACGCTGGCGAGCGGGCCGGACGGCGGGGCGCTGGGGGCGGGCGCAGGGAGCGGGGCGCGGCTGATGAAACCGGCTCCCGATCCCTCCCGCCCTCAACACTCCATTCACTCAGCGCCGGCAGGTGTGAGCGGCAGGTCAGCTGCCGGCGGGGCGCGCGGCCACCCGGCGTCCGTTACCCGAGTCTCCCGCTCCGGCTCCCCGCGCGCCGCGCCTCCGCCCGACCGTCCGTCAGTCCCGCCGAGCCTTGGTCGATCGTCCGTCAGTCCAGCCGCGGTCTTGCCTGCATCCCGCCACCCGCCGGCCCGGTGAGTCCCCGTCCTCCGCCGGCGCCGGGGCAGCTGCCCGGGTCCGGGTCACCTTGGGGGGCTGACCCCGGCGACGCGGGGAGGGGCGCGGAGCCCGCGCGGGGAGCCCTGGCATCCTCCGGGTGGGCGCGGGCAGGGCGGACGGGGGTGTACGCGGCCGGTGCCCATGAGGCTGTCTCCGCCACGGAGTCCATTTTGGTTCGCTGAAGGCGCGGCGTGGTGCATGATGCAACACCCCGTGAGGAAGCGTGGGCGACCTGGCGCCTCCGGGGTGCTGGCCCAGCGCTCCCTGCGGGGCACCGGGCGCCGGGACGCGCGGGTGGTCGCGGGGGCGTGGGGACGGGGAGCGGGCACTGGGCCCGGCAGGCGTCCCGAGACCTTCCCTTACATGGCGCGGAGCGGAGCACGCCGCCCCGCCGCGAGGTCCACGACGTGTTATCGGCCGCGGGTGGAGAGCCCGCCGGGCGGCGGAGGGTGGTCCCGCGGCAGGTGGCCGGCCGAGGACGGCGTCGCGCACCCGCAAGCTGGCCGCGGCGCCCACGTCTCTTCCTCTCTGGAACCCTGCACACTCCCTGGCCCGCCTCCACCTCTCTTCCGGGTCCCCGGAGTTGTTTCGGGGAAGTCCCCCCCGCCGGGGGCTTCCTTGTGACCCAATCTGGCCCGTAGAGGCCGGTGCTCAACGCTTCCAGATGGTTTCGAGCAGGAGGCAGTTCTTCCGGCTTCACCGAGACAACCTATTCTCAGTGTGTTCCTTTCTACGTAGTAGGAAACTTCCCGGGCCAGGCGGGTCCCGCAGTCATTCTAAGACCAGTGTGTACACGGCAGCAGGGCGCTGTAGTACTACTACCTTCCCCTTTTCAGTGGCTGTGAGAACCCGAGAGGAGTGGTGCTTGACTTGTATGATTAGGACAGCCAGACAAGTGCCTTCCGGAAGAAACGGAACACTGCCCAGTACCCGCCCTCAGGCTCTCATGTGTAGAAGTAACCTGGCGTAGGTTTTACTCCAGATTTGTAAACAGAGGAGGGGGTGAGGGTCTCAATCCCAGGTGTATTTCCCTAAATGAGCTCTTAAAACTGTGACCAGGACTGTGTTTTGGCCTCTGGCTGAATTTCCTAATTGTGTTTCATTTGAATTATAATTTACTCGGGATTCATCTTAACGTTTTTTGCCACTTAGGTTTGGTTCCGATAATAGGAAACCATGATACCTACAAAAATATCCCCTGATATTTTTAGTTGATCTCAGTGGAAATTATTATTTTTATATGCACACACCCTTCTGTGATTAAAACAAAAAGGTCTTGTTTAAGTCACAGTCAGAATAGAAACTTAGGGGACAAAATCAACAATGGATTAAAATAGTTTTTAAAGGTTTAGCATATTAAGATCATGTTTAATTATTACAGGTAAAATTTAAAGAGTGCCAAAGGGGTTTTGACTAAAGAAACAGGACGAGAATTAATAGAGATCAGAAATGTACTCAGTTGTTTAAATCTGGATTGAACCACATGGGTGCTCTTATGCATATAATTATTTGCTTTAAAGGAAGAAAGGCTTGAAAGACGAGATTGCTGACCTCGAGGAGCTTGCATTTTAGGACACACGTTAATTGTATTGGGTTGAGGCTTCCATTCTTTGATGGGCTTAAACACATGTTTACTGACTGTTCTAGTCTGTCGTTTCTTGTCTACTCAGGCCAGTAAAAATATGTAATTACGTTGGAGGGCCCAGCATTATGTCTTATTAAATTAATCCCTTACATTATTAATTATATATTTGAAGGTATTGGTTTATTAATCCCAGAGAGGAATTTGAAACAGGAATGAATGTGTCCTTGTTATGGGGAGAAACATTTTCCTCTGACCCTGGAGGTGTCTGGGCCACAGGCATCTTCTGAGATGGCCATCCTTCCACCTGGGGCCGGGTCCTCACTCCAGGTGGGACCTGCGGACGGGTGGGCCGTGGTGCTCTTCTCCAGCCTGGGGCCCTCACCCCTGTCTGCTCCCGTTGCCGGCAGGCTGTTTCTCTCAGAGAAGCGGGGAGTGCTGGGTGGCTGTCAGGGAGTGGAAGGGCCACTTCAGATCCTGGGTGGAGAAGAGATGGGGGACGGGCAGGCGCAGAAGGGGGGAGGCCAGAGCAGAGACTGGTAACTTAAGTCTGGAAAAAAACCCAAGCCCAGCTTATTTCTGCACGAGAGAGTGTGTCCATATGTCGTTTCTGTGAGAGAGAGAGATGGTGGCAGCTTGGTCGGGGTGGACACGGTAGGAATGTGAGCTGATTGAGTTCTGCTCCGTCTGCAGGCTGGTGTCCTTGCTCTGTCTGTGGATTTTAAAGGAAGATTCCGTGTGAGGCGCGAAAGGCCGGTTGAGGTTCCATGTAGAGCGGAGCCACTGTGCTAGTGAGGTGGGGAAGGCTGAGGAGAGCGTGTCGGGAAGGACTCGGTAAAAGTCACAACCGGCTTTTTCCAGACGCTTCCATCCTCACGGGCCGGGGCTGAGCCGGAGCTGAGCCGGAGCTGCCTTGTTGTGCCCACGTGCCGCCGCGGCTTGGGGCCTCCTCCCCCTCTGCCCGGCAAGCCTGCGGCCTCCTTGATCTCCCCTGCGCCCTCCAGTGGGCATCTTGGCCGTGGGTTTGTCCCATGGCCCGCTTGGGGTCTGCAGCCGTGGGGCGCGCCTGCTCTTTCATTCCTGGCCTTCAGGAGGCCTGCCTGCCGGGGGTTTCTTGGGCCGGAGGCCCCTGGCATTGGACCCCAGGCCAAGGTTGTATCTGCCCAAGGTTTTAGGTCTGTTCCAGTCAAGAGAAGAGTAGCAGCTTTGGTGGCAGGTTATGGGCCCCGTGGTAACTTCAGTGGCTTCTCTTTCTCTGTAATCATGTCCCCACCCCCAACTGCAAAGCAGCTTTGACAGCAGCTACCCCTGCACTTGTTCAAAGCAAGTCCCAGTTTATCATGGGGGGGGGGTTAGTGCATTTGCCACCTGTGAATCTGCTAGAAGGACGGGCAGCACGTTGGTAAGAGGATTTGGTGGACTGCTGTCTTCATTTGGCTCCGAAGACGTTCCTTCAGGCCTTTGGCCTCGGCAGAGCAGCGGCTGAAGCTGTTTGCTCCACCCATCGGTCAGGATTCGCTCACCCAGGGGACACAGGCTGCAGGAGAGACATCTCTGCACGTTGGGATAGATTCCGGCACGAGGTTCCCTCGTCATGCCACACCCGAGTCTTCCATTTGGCTTTTCCTCTGGTTATTGTCATTAGCACTGGGGACCGCCAGGTGGTAGATTTGGTGGACAAACCACGTCAACTGAGGGTAGAGCTGTGTGGAGTTAGAGGCCAGCTTCAGTGCAGCCTGAGGTCATCGCCCTGAAATGCAGACGCTGCTTCTAGGAGCCGGGGCGGGTGGTCCAGTGCCGGGAACGGCGCCATCCGAGGCGTCTTTGGTGCAGGTTTGCTGCCGTCTCTGTGCAGCCTCCAGTATGTCCTTTGGGCTGTCGGAACCCTGCAGACGTGCTCTTGCCCTGCCTGTAGCTTGGGGAAGCCCGCCCTCTCAGCCTCATAATGATGAAGCCAATAAACATGAAGTGCAGAATATTCTTTGAAAGAATAAAGGTCAGTCCATTTAGATTCTTTCACAAAATAAGTTCTTTCCATTGCCAGCCTTCTCTTCTGATAAAGGCAACCAGAAATCAAGCTCCGTTCAGCCTTCAAAGGTTACCAAGAGGCGGATTTATACTGAGGAGGGAGAAAGAATGTCCTTCGTCCCGTAGGACAGCGTGTGTTTCCACACTGTCTCCCTTCTTCCTGAGTCACCTTTCCCCTCTGGAGGCAGTTGTTTCTGAAACATTCTGTCTTCCTGCCATAGTGCTTTCTTCAGAAGACCCATGCAGATAAGGTTCTTGCCTGTGAGAACAGCCAAGTACTTTGCCACGTGCGGAGGAGTGGGTCCTGATTCTCTGCACGTGCTGGGCGCACAGGGAGCCCCGCATCGCGGAGACCCGCTCGCCGTGCCGACTCCGGGCGGCCCCCTGCTCTCCCTGACGGGCCACGCACTGCGGGGACGAAGGAGGTGCCGTGGGCCTCCCCACCCGCCCCAGAGTGGGCTCCGCTTACAGGATCAGTGCCTTTTCTAAGATATTTCTCGGAGCCACATTTGAATCCTTTTCCATATTGCCTGCATAATAATTGGCTTCTAGTGCCTACCTTACAGGACTGAGAGGATTTAAATGAGGCAATCATCCCGGTTCCGCACTTAACACAGCTTCTGGCGCATACCAGGTGCTTCGTATAAACGTTAGCTGTTTTACTGGAAACAAAGCACAGTTCTTTGATTTTGGCGTGGAAGAGAAGAAAATCTGTAACAACTTTATTTGCCCTCCCATTTTGCCAAGGTGTCAAAAGGTCATCCCTTCTCCTTGGAGTTGTGTCTGCCTTGCAGTGGGTGGCGTGGCACCGGGGTGTTGGGGAGGCCAGTCCCCGTAGGTCTCAGATCCACAGCCTTGGGTTTGTCCCCTCCTCACGCCTCTGGGAAGCAGAGCTCACGGTCCCATCCTCAGGGGTGGCCTGCCTGTGTCGTGTGCACGTGCGTGTGAGCGTGTGCGTCTCTGTGTTTTGGGGGTGTCTGCCCTCGTCCATCCTGACCCCA